TATTTGTGGAATCGTTGATGGTGGCTGGTCGCATGCTGCGAAATGTCTCCCAAGAAGCTCATACATGTGTTCTATGGGATTTAGATCCAGAGACCTTGCAAGTGAATCCATACGTTGAATATCTTAATTGTCCAAGAGTCCTGCGACAACTCCTGCACGATGAGGTATAACGTTGTCATCCATGAAGAGGAAGCCCGGATACGCTGCACCTCTAAACAGACGCACGTGAGGAAAAAGAATATTGCTGCAATAGGGGACACCTGTTGAGTGAACTTCTCGGAGGACGTGGAGGTTATTACGGCTACCGAACATGATACCATCCCAAGTTGCACCTCCGAAACGGTGCCTTTCGATGATGTTGAAGGAAAGATTTTGTGTTCGTTTCTCTGTGCAGATGTTTATACGTTCAGAACAGCTTCTCAGACTAAATCTTCTTTTATTCGTAAAGAGCACTCGAGCCTACACCTGTGTGTCTTCTATTCTTGCACCGAACAAACCGGCATCTCCGATGATCAGGAGTTAATGGCACACACCTTACTAGACAGTGTTTGTGCAGTCTCCTGGCCAGTGTAAAACGTGATATTTGACCCGCGTTGCTTGTTGGGTGTGCTTTTCGTTTTCCCTAGATGTCTGCCGACAGTCTCTTCCCTCCTGCAGCCAATGTGCCAGTCCTCCACAGTTGTTGTGGTTCGTGGACAACCACTGCTGAATGCTCAGACAGCTCTTCTTACTGTTTAAAATACTTTACGATCTGGTGAAACGATGCTGTGAGCTATCCCAAACTGCTCTATTACAATTGTGACACTTCAACTTTCTTCGAATTTCCCAATGATGGGACATCGGCTAAAGTCGTCCAGATGGCGTCTCTCTGCTATACCACACAGTAGTAGTAACTTTATGACATGAAATCATTGTATATCGTGCAACAAGCTTTCACAGAATTGCTGAATACACCTTGTGCTTTATACCCTCACGACACTCCTTTCTCTAAGAACTACGCCAAATATGCGCCTTCTTTACTGTACCGGTCCCAAGTCTACCTTTCGAGTGGTCTATCCGTCCGTTCTGTTGCTTTTTTCAGTTTTTATTCTAATTTATCCGTCTCATCCTTATTTTTTGTATACAACTTCCCTCAATAATAACAATAATACTAAAGAATAATAAATTCCTCAAAAAGCTTTACCTCGGTTTTTTATGCTTATTTTTTACGTTCTGATTTGCTATGTTGTAAAAGTTTGGTGGTTTCGTGGTAAAGCTGTTTCTGGATGAATCTTAATTATTTTTGCTTAATTTCATTAACTTGCCATCATCTTTAAATGATCTAAGCTGTTAATTTCGCTTAGATTAACTTAGCGACAACTTCTGGAAAACGATAGGAACGAAAATTGATAATGATATATTCTTAAGAAAGCCATTAATCATCTTGGTTCTTTCCAAACTCGTACAAAATTTTCTTTTTGTTGCAGTTTTCCTCTGTGTTGTGTACCTTACCTTCATTGTAGAAATCATGTTTTTATAGCTGTTTTAATTAATTTATTTTGAGATAAGAATTTTGTTTCTTTCAAGTTTCTTTGTTATTTGGCTTTGAAGGGCTTAAAAACATATTTAACTCCATTCTATATTCTATTATATAACGCATTATTCTATTTCATACGCCGAGAGATAGATATATATAGATATATAGAGGTATTAACACAAGATAATACACGTCTTAGTGCTTCCATTTATAGATAAATGGAATATTATTTGCATAATAATTGCGGTTTATAAATATTTGCAGAGGCAGGTATTGAGGTAAATCATTTTCAAACAGTCTTTTACATAAAAGAAACGTTGGAAATTAGACAATTAACGCGTTGCCAAACGAGGACTGTCTGTCTTAAGAGTTCGTCTACGTAAACAAAAGAATACTAGAATAGCAATGAACCCAATATAGATAAATAAATATGGTGAAAATGGCGTAGGTAGTAAATTGTATTGGCGAAGGTAGTACATTGAAATCTGAATGATCGATCACACAGAGTATAAAGACATTTATCAAAAGGATTATTATTGTTTCAGGCAGCTACACTAAGAAATATAATCTAGTTTCAGTATGTATTTCGCATCTTTACTAAATATCTTCTTCAAATGAACTTACATGATAGGTGCGTGATAAGTTATTTTAACAGCTGAAAATAAAATTACTAAAACAGATAAATACGAGTATATGTAGTTTTGTTGCAAACTGCTTAAACAGTAGATTTGCATATTAAACGCGTATGAAACAGCTTTCGGTATTATATTTTGCATTTTATCTGCACGAGTAGTGTATTTAGCGCAACTAGTTAATAATTTTATAAGACAGTTTATACATTTTAGAATTTGTTTGCACAATTCATCTTTTTGATATGAGATAGAAAGACATTTAAGATCTTATTTATCTGATGATGCGATTTAAATTTGGATAAAATGATTATCTTAATAATTTTTCTAATGCTTTCATAGCATATTATCTTTGCATATATTTTTACAAAGAATTATAGCAATTTTCAGTTTCCAACAAGACTATAACCCCTAATGAAAAAAATAATAAATCTGTTTTAAAAGGACACCACTTTAAATCTAAGCTTTAAATCTAGCCTAGAGGTCTAGAATATTCTAATACTATGATAATTGCACGGGCTATCTACCTCATTTAGTCTAATTTCGAGGACATATGTGCTAGTTTAACCTTCCGCACGCGCGCTTGGCATTTACTGAGCACGCGTGCGTTGTTTTTTTACGACATCCGTTATTTTAACCATTTTGGCACTAAAAAAAACGACAGAAATTGTGAATATAATAATAAATTTGTTAACAATAAACATCATCTTATTATTGCAAATACAAATGATAACCCATTAAAATAAAGTATTATTTTTAAGTTCTTATTTAGTGAATGGAAATACATGATATATTTCATTATAGAAAATTTTAAATTTAATATTTAATAATTATATTTAAAATCTTTTTAATATCCATCAAAGACGAGTATAGATAATAAAAAAGAAAAACACCTTGGTAGGAAAAAAGTAAGTTTAGCATTACTTTCTTCTGCAAGGAAATTTACTTCTTACAAGTTATAAAAACGCACTTTAAACTAACTTTAATGTTTTTGTTTATTTCTAAAAAATAGAAATAAAAGAAAATAAGGAAGTCGAAATCGCTATTGTTCTCCCATCCAAAGGTTTTCTTTTCTTCATCAGATAATTCTTGAAGAATCCGAGCAAAATCAGCTGGTTGCACATAATTTTTTCCCATGAAAACCGATATAAAATTTACAGAGCCAAATGTATTCAAATTAAAATAATACGCGGCAATTAATAACACAAAATTTCAAAATATTTGAGAAAAAAATATTTTCCAAATTTTCACCCACGACCACGCGCGTGTCGTACCGTTTACAAAAAAGCTGCCACTAGCACAAAAGCCCAGCAAAGGAAAAAAAGGTCAAATGACTTCCTGTTGGCACATTCCATGATGTGGGGAAGGGTAGAAAGGAGGAACAGAAAAGACATTCAGACGTCTCAGCTTCGATATATGAAAAACGTGCATTAAAAATTGAATTTGTTGTAAATTTTGCGCATACGCGCGTGCTGGAAGGTTAAGCATGAAAATGTGCTGCTGAAGTTTGAAAAAAAAACAAAGAAAACTCAAAATATAAAATACTCAACATATATATATAAGTAAGCAGTTTTCTCCATATGGTTCTGAGTCTACCATCGGCCGAGAGGTAAATTCGCTCAATACTGATAGTTCGGTCCGGGGTTCTAATCCCTCTGAACAGGCTGACTGCTTAGTTCGTGGTTTTCCTTCTGTGTAACGTGCATACTATTCAGTTTCCCATAGGAAGTCCTCCGCGAAGGCATTCTCCTCCTTAGACAGATAGCCATCGAGTGCTCTGATATAATTAAATAAACAAAACCATATCGTTCTGTTGATAATTTACGTACTGTATTTAGTACGTGTAATAATTGTTCTACAAGATAATGTATATACAGCCCAATAACTAAAAACGATAATTGTATATCGAAAATATTCAGCACAATTTGCTGGGAAAAGAAAATCTGCAAAAAATTCCATGGTTTATGCTTTAAGAAATTTAGAGTTTACAATGATCTTAAGCCATTGAGAAAAGAGTTCTTGCTGCTTCCTTTGCTTGTAAATGGATTTGTGTCGGCCATTTGACCTTTAAAATATTTTTATTTCACTTTAAATAAAGATATAGATATGTACCTCCATCGGCATGCTGAGATTTGATATATAGTAGTAAGTCTTCTTTACGTTTCCGGTTGCTTCCTCAAATTCCAAGAACTGCTATAAAATGATCGTATGCGAACTTATTTTTACTTAGTAGCTATACTATTCTGTATTGCTGAATCCGAAGTTTTTTAGCATCTGGCAACAAGAAATACTAAAATAGCTTTATGTCCAAAAAGTACTATGTAGAAACAAGAAACTTTATTCCATCATAAATTCTTGCTGCACTTTTAGGGAAGATTTTTCAGGTTATGGAGATATAAAAATGTCATATCTTCCTTCTTTCAAATGTATTACATCAAAACCAATGTAAACAACAGGACAACTATGCGAATAAAAAAAGTTAAATGTGTATAAAAGATATTCGAACAAATGCTGTTTGGAAAGTTCACGTGGCGTCGATAAATAGAACAGAGAAAAAATAGCTTTAAACTAGAAATGGGCTTTGAAAAGTAGAGTTACAATGCACTGAATAACTAGTAGAAATGTATCTATACATAAATATTTATGCACGTATAGTTAACGGTATTTTAATAGTTTAAGGTTTACCAAGTTGAATTTACAGAATTTTGTTTTCGTTATTTTAAATGTAATCTTAAACGACATTTCTGGAAAAAAATATATAAAAAAAACAGGCTGCAAGCTTTAAGATATTAAACGAGCGCCAAAAAGGATCTGTTAAGGTTTTTTAAGGGGACTCATACACCTTAAACCCCTCATGATCTTCGAATATGTGACTGTTGCAAGAATTGGGATATTTTATTTATTTTAAAAGCAATTACTTCCAAACTTTTACAGCTGACTACATAATATAGCTGCTTTGGAAACTAGTAACCAGAAAGTATATTTGCCACAAATATTTTTGTAATTAATCCGCTTTATG